TGCCTTCTTACGTATAATAGCACGATCCAACGACCCGCAGGTCAGAATAACACACTTCCTGTGAACTGGCAGACATATAAGACTTCCGAGCGACAACCGACTACCAATAATCGGTCGCCAGTCACTGATGATCACAGAGTGCGTATCGTATATAATATACATATATTTACAGTTCACACATGCCTGACCCCAAACTGTGTACTAAACAGATTATGGGATAAAAACTTTTACAAAAATAGAACGTTCCATGATTTGCACGTGAGCTGAATACTGCCAATTTGTCCAAGCCAAGACAGGTTAGTTTTCTTGAGGAATCCACAACCGGAGCCTTTGGCTAGCCAAATCCTGACCGGAAGGTAGCGGGGCGGTGTGTAGAAACTGCAATCTCTTTGGGGCTGGTGTCCAGTTCATCGGATCATACGCTCTTTGGACGGGGTCAAAGGTCCTAGGTGCCCAATACACCTTGATACGCAATCTAGCCGGTGACCACTGCCACATTGGGGAGAGTAAGGGTGAGTGTGTTTCATGGTTCCCTCCTTCCCTTCCAGCCCCTGAGCTTCCATTTTGCACCTACTAAAACCCTGATTTGAATGTCTCCCGTATTATTTCCCTGGGTTATATAATATGCTGTAATTGGCCAGTAGATAAAGCACGGAAACCAAGCTTGATCGCCACATCTCTGTTTTTTTTCTAATGGATCAATCGGAGTTATTCACTCAAATCTAGTTGTGTCCATCAATTCAAATGTGGGTGCTCAGCCATCAACATCGGCAGAACGGAAACAACTGCGTTACTGAGGCACCGAGAGCATTTCGGTCTGGCCTCAGAAAACAATAAGTGGAAAGTTCGGAATTATGAGGTCACCAATGACCGGTAGGAAACTCAGTTCGTCGATCACACAACACCTGGTCAAAATGAGACACAGTGTCATGCTGCGCGACGCGTTCAGAATACTGTACAATGCAAACAACACGAAGGTTGTGAAATCCGCCGAGGCACTAGCCATTCAAAATTGTCATCCAAAACTATGTAAACAACGTGAACGGTTTATCATTCTGACACTACCATGGTGAGAAATGTGTTTGGTGATTGAGTTTGACCGCAATCCTCTCCCCTATGATTCTGTTATTTACTAACCATCTGTGTTTGTGGCTTCAAATTCGTTACGGAGAAACTGTGCTTCCAATGTCTCGCTTGATGTAACTCCACCTCCATCCTGTATAACCAAGAGTGGCTTGTGTTCTTTCGAAACGCTGAGAGTACTTGTTGGTCGATGTACATAAGTCGCACTTTTCTGGATAGCTAATCACACATGAGGTTAACATAGACATCAGACGTATAGAACACGTACCTCACTCAGTCGAACAACAATAAAGATGAATTTCACAATGACGGATGAATTTTTACTAACCCTGTCAACAGCGACATCTCCATTGAATTGAACTCAATGGTTTACTTGGTNCGACTAATTGTAATTGTAATTATAACATATGTCGGTGTAAGGTCTTTATTTCAGTTAAAAGTGTACAAATTTGAGCCAGAAAGGAAAGGAAAAAGAAGAAAAAAGTTGAATCTTAAAACATTTATCAAAATTTGTTAAAACTTGTTCCATGTTAACTGGAATACGCGCTAAAGAGGGTACTGTAGAGTTACGCTATATGTGGGTTGTGTCCTCAACTTCACTAACCCCTTTCAAACTCTTAGGCGGTTAAATTATCCTAATTGTTGCTCCGCCGAGTGTATTCGAACAGCCCTTTGATTGTCCCTCATGAACGGGGTTTTATGGCCCAAACAATTGTTCCTTACAATAATATGACCCCATTAGAATTGGGGCGATGAGTTCTTTGTGCACATCCTAATCAAATTTATGCTCACCGAAGTCGAATATCAACTCACCCTCCAAGCTTTCCTATCGTACTAAAATGCTAGTTCACGAAAGCTAATCATTATGCGATCGTGGGCAGTATCGACAGAAGTGTCTCGGGAACGCTATATAGTCACCGTTGGGATATGACTAGCCGAGAAAACAGTTGGTAGCTGAAGTGCATGATTCTCAACTGGACTGAGATCCTGTGCTCGTGGTTGCTTACGTGGTTGAAGTAGTGATGCAGTCGCGATTCGATCCACTTGCCTCAACCCGTCCGTCACACAATCATTTGCAGATCTGAATTATATAAACAATTATGAGTCATTTAGAGGATTCCGTCGTGTGTGCATGTGTCGGTGAGCGTTTCCGAGCGGTTATTTGATTTGTGGGTTACAGGGAGCAAGATTGTTATAAAGGTCACCACACTGTGCAAGTTAATCACTTGATGCGAATGGGAATGAGAACGGAATGATTGAATGAACACGTGTTATTTGCAGTCATAATTGTGGNNNNAAACACTCTGCCACATCGCTTGATTGTCATAGATTCTACGTTGCTCGGACCCGCTTCAGTTATCAGAGATTTCTTTGATTTCTGAACACACGGGTTTGAATATTCGGGTTATTGAAGTCAAACATATGTCTCTAGAGTTAAAAGGTGAGTGTTTGTGTTAACACATTGGTCTTTCCACAGGTTCCAGGCACCGTTGATGATCTTAGGTGTGGGTTTTACTCCTTAGAAGATCGCTAATTCCCCACCAGTTAAAGGTATCCAAATGTGATGAAAATCTTTGTCATGACCGACAAAACGGTGCCCGGTGCCTGTGAAAAATCAAATTGGCTAATCCAAACATCATCGACTAAATTCATTGATTCCTTCGTGTAGGATGATGACAGTCGACCATGTAGATCGGGAGTAATAGTTTGAAATCCCAACCCGAAAGTTCCCTGACAGGGATATGAGAAGTATGCACTGCTGACAAGTCACAAGCAGTATGAAACAGCTATCCGGTGCTGTTTGCCGGTCATCACAAATATTTCAATCGCTTGGAGATCAAAAATCTTTCTGAGGCTTTCTTTCTCACATTCCGTCTCAGAATACTTGATTGTTGCAAGTAAAACCGCTCCATTCAATATGACTGCTTTCAAATTTGTAGGTATTCAGTGTGCGCGACTAAGGGATACAAGGAATCCTTCAAATCAAGAGGACCATATCATTAACTTAACTGAAGAACACACGAAAATTTCTGTGCTGCTGAGCCCTGTAGAGAACTAACTCTTATGCACTGTGCCTCGGTGTGAAAAAAATCACATTGCACTCAAGCACTAACTGAAGAGATGTGATGATCCTGGCCTACGGGATAACGTAAGCCATGAGGCGACGCGTCACAGTTTCTGGACAACCGCGGTGAGTCAACCTTCCCAGATGATGCCAGCTAAGCGCCCACGCATTTCAGTTTCTGGACAGCAAACCACAGGCGAATTGTGCAAACCAATCAGAAGTCGTACGATGGTTCAGACAGAAGCTATATGACGTCAAGAATACAAGCACGCAATTGGTGGATATTTGGATAACCAATCAACTTTCTTTGTGCATGTTATTTAATCCCTCTAATCTTTGGCAATAAATGAACTGCCACTTCTGTAACCTTCTCCGTGCATCTCGGTTACGTGAGATATCAGCGTGCAAGTGCTAGTGCGATTCAGCGTTTCCATGACGTCCGTGATTCGTAATTCGTGATTCGTGATTCGTGATCTGTGCCTAAATCAACTACTACAGGGGGACCCCAGTTATTAAAAGAACTGAGAATAGAAGATTTCAGTAAAAGTTGAATGCACATTAAAGTAATTCGGATTTACATGCATTCTCAATAAGTTTATAGTTCTCTGGCATTCGTTCATTTCGTTAGTGTGACAGACGCAACTCTCGGGGAACTTCACAACTTGTCCTAGAACCTCATTCACATTGGAGAGCGGGGTGAGTTGTTGGGCTTTGCAATAATCACAGTTCGGTACAGATAACAATCAGTAGATCTTTCTCGTTCACAAACTAAGATTCACCTCTATTCAATCTGCTACTTAACAGGAGGGTTTACGTTGACCTAAAGAGGGTCTATTTTTAAACATTCCACTTGGTTACTCATAAGTAGGTCATCTTTCAATGATTTCCAGTGACCATCACTCAGTTTTCATCTTGAAGCACAATCCCCAGTTCATTTCGCCAAAAATACAACTGGGAAGCATCATAGACCTGAGTTTCGCTCACTATTAAGACCATATCAGGGGTGCACATCTGTAGTAGTAGTAGTAGTAGTAGTGTTGTGAGATATCACTCACTTGTGAGTAGTACGCAAAAAGATGTGATCAGCGGCCTCTTTCAACAACCGAAAATCAACAAGACCTGTTGGAACAAACTGTTGCTGTTCGATATGGCGAATACAAGAATGCGCATCTGATAGTGGACCGTTCTATCAACTATCCTGTGTGCGTGTGGGAATTTCGCAACCTTGTTCCAATTGAGTTATTTTGTTGTATGAGTGACAATTTAACCATATCTCCAATGTTATTGTCAATGAACGGATGTCCTCGACCAGCGCCGTCTCTTGGAACTATAACAACTGGTGCCGTGACCATGATCCGGATGAAGGTCCCACGTCCAGGAGCCTTCGAAGGTGGAGGTCCGTGGACGTTTTTGCAAGATTTCGAGGACGTCGCGGAGAGGCCCTTAGAAGATGCAGTGGGCCGCCACGAAGAACGCCCTAGTCGCGGGTTTCGACACCCCGGCCGACCGCCAGAAGGCGTGCGGAGCTTCAGGACGACGCAGCTTGGAGTTGGTATGGACTCCCTGTAGCATGCCGTGACCCTACGTGCCCTGTTGGATCGAGCGCTGCAAACTTTGAAGGACGCTGCTCGCTCGGAATTATTGCTGGAGTGTTTCGTGGAGAGTCTGCCGGACAATCTGCCGGAAAAAAGTGCGATTTGTCCGAGAGTGGTGTGTCATGGATGTATTCACGTTGGCTGAAGCCGTGAGACAATTAACAAACAATAGAGTTTCGGCCCTCCAAACTCCCGAAGTCCCTAAAAGACAGCCGCCGGACGATGTTACGGAAACCCTGAAAAAGCTGACAGAAGAAGTAGCAATACTGAAAACAAACTGCTCAGTAGGAAAGAACAGAGATATGTGCTTTCAATGCGGCAAACTGGGCCACTGACGGAGACATTGCCCAGAAAGATACAAAAACCGCTCCCTCGAGAAACGGTTTACGCAGAACCCACCCGTCTCTTAAAAAGACTATAATAGAAGCAGTAGATCGCAGTGCACTCCAGGCTCGATTGGAGATACAGGGTCGGAAAGAGCTATGCCTAATCGACACTGGTGCGACAATAAAGTTGGCGAGACCCCAAGCAAATGAAACCCTGGAAACATGGAATACAGCTGTGAAAACAGTCGGTGGTTACCAGTTGAGGGTAGACGGAGGAGCTAAACGGGCAGTCCGCGTTGGATACAAGATAATCAAGCATCCATTTGTCATAACAAAAGACACGAACCAGACTATAGTGGGAGCAGATATATTGCGCAGTTTAAGGGCCGTGGTTGATCTGAACAACGAATGGCTTGTTACCAGATTCGGTACGATCCCGCTGTCACGCTATAAAGGGAAGAAGTTGTCAGCCGTGAGTACATAAACAACTCACACGAATGTGTCGCCATCATTCCGGCTAGTGGTGCAAGGATTCTCCTACCTTTTCACAGGCGATGATGACCCGTACTGGTTCTGTAACTGGGTCGAACACGAAATTCCAATGACGATAGGAAAATTTCGAGCCTTTGTTTCACGCCGAATTCCAATACACTTGGAGGAAGAAGTCAAGTGGCCGGTCAAACAAATGTTAAAGGAAGGAATCGTCGAAGAAACTCAAAGTCCGTATAACTCGACCGTGCTGCTGGTCAAAACGCCCAATGGTAAATTTCGGTTCTGTGTGAATTTCAGAAAAGTAAACACTGTGACTATAAACAAACCAGTTCCAGTCCCGACTGTGGCAGAAATTTTTGACCAACTGCAAAGCTCGAAAGTGTTCTCAGTTGCGGACCTACGATCGGGATATTGTCAAGTACCAATAAAGAAAAAAAGACAGAGAAAACGACGTTCACAGTCGGCAGTAAACAATATCAGTTCAAATTAATGCCATTCGGATTACCAGGAGCACCATTTACATTCCACCTCCTCATGCTGAAGTTACTCGATGGTGTCCCCAACGTGGTGGTGTATGGTGACGATATTATTGTTTACAGTCAAACAACAACCGAACGCACACTCCACTTGGAAACTGTCCTGAAACAAATCCAAGAATCTGGCCTTCGGATTAATGGATCGAAGTCCCAAATTGGGAAACCGACAGTGAATTTAATTGAGCACAAGGTTAAAAACGGAGAAGTGAGGCCACTTCCTGGGAAGATCCTCAAGTTAAAGGAGTTTGCACGCCCAACTTCGAAAAGAACGTTAAGACGGTTTCTGGGCTGTACCGCATACTATAGCCGGTTCGTCAAAAACTGTATGAATATCGCTGAACCGTTATACGCCTAGCTCAAGAAAGAATAACGCTTCCGATGGACAGCAGATGCCTAGAAAGCTTTCGATGAACTCCAAAGGATCATGACCGAACAACACCTGATACTGAAGTTGCCGGTGATTGGCGAGCGCTTCACAGTGGTAACGGAGGCCAGTGACGTTGGAGTGGGAGCCTTCTTCAAACAAGCAAGTGGAGTAGTTGAATACGCAAGCAGGGTCCTCACTCCAACGAAAATGAAATATTCAACCACGGAAAAAGAATGTCTTGCAATCGTTTGGGCCGCAGATAAGTTGGTCAAAGGTTCCATATAGAAACGGACCACAAGCCGCTGGAGTGGATTAAAACGGCCGAGGATCCGAAAGGAAAACAAGTCCGATGGGCGGTTTGTCTTCAGGAGTACGACTTCAGGATCAATCATGTTGCAGATGCCGAAAACTATATGGCGAACATTTTGTCTCGTCAGGAGGAAGCAGATTACCTCAGTGTCAGTATGTTGGCAGCGGGACAACACCCGCACGAATAGGTGAAGGAACAGCGCACGAACCAATAACTATGTAAGGTGATCGAAGCAATCTCACGAGGCCAACAATACCGAAAGTTCAACATAGTACACACATGAAGTCATGGAGATCCGTATGGAAGCAGCTTTATTTGAATGCCGCTGGTACCCTAATGAAACCACAGTCAGGGAGAAGATGCCCTGTGGTCGTCATTCCGAACCAGCTGCGTAAAATCCTCATCGAAGAAAGCCATGAACTGGCCCACACTGGATGCGTTCGAACCTACGATCTGCTTCGACAGCGGGCATATTGGCCAAATATATAGGCTGATGTGACAAACCATGTACTGGTGTGTGAAAAATGCCAACTGTTCAAGTCAGACTCCCACCGATCACAATGCCCAATTCAGTCAATACCAGAATGAGATCGGTGAATTATGGTCCACCGACCTCATGGGTTCATTTCCGATGTCCCCTAGAGAACATTAATACATCGTTGTAATGACGGAGCACTTCACACGCTGGATTGATGCTGTAGGAGTCGTGGATCAAAAAGCCGCCATGATAAGCAGAGTTGTGATGGAGTATATCATGGTGAATCATGGTGTACCGCATGTCATCCTTACGTATCAAGGCCCGTGCTTTGGAAGTGATGAATTTCGCACGTGCTTACAGAAATTAGGCATCAAAAAGATACACATAACGCCCTATCACCCACAAACCAACGGCCTCACCGAACGCAATAACAGAAAAATCAAAAAAATGGCTGGCAGTGAAAGGAGGGGATTGGGAATCTGCTCTAACTTCCCTACGTTTGGCTTACCGCTCGACCAACCAGGCCAGTACCAAAAATACACCATTTCAACTGATGTATGAAAGAATTTGGAAGCTGCCAGTGAATCTCAACCTTGGTATTTGGCCGCCAAACGATTTATCTCTGCAGCAACTTCAACAGACAAGATGTGAATCCCAAAATAACCTGAAGAAGGCGCAGGAGGATACAATGCGCAAGTCTAGGATATAAACTAGACGCTCGGCCAGTTTGCTTCCGGTTGGATCTAAAGTAAAGTGTAAGCAGCACATTGGGAGATTCACGAGCGGCCCTGGCTCGAGGACGTTAATTCTCGAATGGAAAGGCCCATACCGCATAGTTGAACAACGCCATCCCGTGTACAAAATGCAACGGATGAATGAAGTCCGTCGTGTACATCGGAACGATCTCGCAACATGCCACGAGGAAATGTACAGCACACTCCATAAACCAACAAAAGAAATCCCAGAATCCAATTACACAAGGTCAGACATGACGCCGCCCAACGTCAAAAATCGGAGACAAACGTAAGCACAATCCAAGAAACATATATCCATTGATCAAGGCGTACAGAGATCCCTTCCACTGAAGGAGGAGTGTTGTGAGATGCTACTCAATTGTGAGTAGTACGCAACCAAAAATCAACAAGGCCTGTTGGAACAAACTGTTGCTGTTCGATATGGTGAATACAAGAATGCGCATCTGATAGTGGACCGTTCTATCAACTATCCTGTGTGCGTGTGGGAATTTCGCAACCTTGTTCCAATTGAGTTATTTTGTTGTATGAGTGACAATTTAACCATATCTCGAACATTATTGGCACCATTTTGTCAACCGCAACAGTGGTAGTTGTTGTTGTCGTAGTAGCAGTAGCAGTAGTATTAGTAGTAGTGGTAGCAATACGCACGGAATTTAGGACACAAACCACGAAATCCCGGAGCACGAATCAAGGATCAGCTATGAGGAACTGGATCACGGAAGCACTGGACCACAATGGCACTAGCACGCAATATACCACGTGACTGAGACATGAGGAGAAGGCCACAAGAATGATAGTTCGTAGTTCATTTATTGAAAGAAATGAGGGTGATTAAGTAATTTGTGCAAAAGAAAATTATTGATTATCCAGGCTTCCACCAATCACGTTCCAGTATTGCTTGTGTCATTCTGCTTCTGTCTGGATTGCACTGTCTCAGATTGGCTGGCACGATCTGCCTTTGGTGTGTTGTCGGAAGCAGTGACGCATTGACGTTACCTTTGAAATTCGATTGATCGCAGGTATCCGAAAACTGTAACGTGCTGCTTCAGAGTAGGCGTTATGTCGTCGACCTGGATCACCACAACATCCTATATCCCGTCCAACATTTGACCTTTGGATCTCTCGCACGGAGGGTATGTTACCATTGTCCCATGAGGCTCACACATGGAGTGACCGGAATTACCAACTCAAGTTCGTTCAGATAGCTGCTTCAAAGATTTTCAGTGAGTTCACTGGTTCCGAGAGCAACAAAAGGAGATACAGTTAACTCCTTTAGAAAGCGCTACACGAGATCAGGAACTACAGATTAAGGTTTGATAAATCTGAGCACCAGTAATTGCACTAGTCTGGAATTCAATTCACATTTGCTTCACACTTACTTACTAGTGCACTTCTGATGAGCTCTAAATGAGGCGAAACTCATGTCTGGGTGCATAGTTAACCGGATGAATTGAGGCTTGCTAGTGAAAGTGAGAGCTGCATGATGGTCAATCTGAATCAATATGGTACCAGTTCTCACAAGTAATAGCTATTCAAATGTGCATCTTTTAGTGGTTGACCCTCTGTGATTGAGAACTTCGAATATCTTTCCTCTTCTTACCTCGGGAGCTTGATCGCGGCGGCAGGTGGTGTTGCGGAGGAGACTACATAACAATTAGCGAAAGCTAGAGTAGCTTTTGTCAACCTGCGACACCTGTGGTGCCACCATGA